CGTATTACGGCCGTAACCCACCGTGACGTAAACGGTGAAACCCACCTACCGTAAACGGTGAAACCCGACTACCGTAAACGTTAAAAACAGCGCCGTAACACGGTCGTATTTTGAACGAAACGACAGTTTACGATAACGAGAATCGCCGTATCTTAACACATACAGCCTGGGTGTGGGTGTGGGTGTGGGTGTGGGTGTGGGTGTGGGTGGGGTGTGGGGTGTGGGGTGTGGGGCGTGGGTGGGGTGTGGGGTGTGGGTGGCTTATCTGCGTTCATACACTCACTCACCCTACACTCACAAAACCAAACCCCCCCCCCCCCCCCCCCCACCCCTACATACTAACGTCTCAGATGAAGTTATGATGCAGTCTTGCTAGAAGCCTGCCTTGGTTTTTAACTGAAGTCTTTCTTATTTTTGCTCAAATCGGCGGCCCTTGCCCGTGAAGTACAAGTAATAGTTTGTTGATAAGAAATCAAAATGGCGAGTATATTCTATTGTTGACTTCTATTGAAATTCGTCGGGGATAGCATTAAAGGAAAGCTTTAGTTCAACTTAAATCGAGAGTCCTCTACAAATAGCAGTAACTATCTGAATCTTAAAAGAATTTTATTGCTAAAAACTAGCGATCTCTACAAATTACCGCATGCTCAATGAAAATACATTTTTATAGAAATCTTAATAGATTTACAAAAAAGAATAAAAATATGAAATTTAAATTTAAAAGATACTAAGCCACCTGATGAGACTTCTAAGCAAAGTCGAAACGCATCATGGTAGCTTTCTACACATCCCATACTGATAAGCTCACCTCATGAAATTACTGTAATTTCTCGCTAGTGTTGCAAGATATGTTCTTCTTTCCATGTGTTTTGCAATATGTGACATGATTGGACTGAAATTACCGATCGATTGCATTAGTCACTTTCTCTATTGAGAATATATATAGACGCTTGTATAAGGGAACGAATGAGCAAAAGCTGCTGTTGTCGCTGCAGCTGATTTAGAGAAGAGAGTAACAGCGTGCATTCTTATGGATCACAATATTGTCGACGAACATCAATTACAATTATGTAGGGATTTATCCGAAGAGCTGAATAACTGGAAGTTACTTGCCTTTAATCAATGTCATGATGGTTCCGTTATTTTTCTTATGGTTCAAGAAGATATCCAATACTATAAGATATGGCATTTGAACGTAGAAAACGGTTACTCATGTGAAGTGAAGATAAGTAAAGACGATTTGAAATATGAATGCAGCTGGAATCATGTAGATACTCTACCGAACGATCGGTTTCTTGTTGTTGCCTGCAGATGCACACGTTATAGTGATGGTTCTACAGATTTCAATGGAAGAATATTCGATAAAGCGGGAAATTTGCTTCGTCAGCTATTATTAGGCGATGGAATTGAAGATATTAAAACTGATAAAGATGGATTTATATGGGCATCGTATTTTGATGAAGGTATATTTGGTAATTTCGGTTGGAATCATCCTGAGATAATTGGCTCACATGGATTAGTTAAATGGAATGATCAAGGATGTAAAGTATACGAATACATGCCTACTGATAATGATTTGCAACCCATTGACGACTGCTATTCCATGAATGTTGTTGATGAAAATGACGTATGGATTTGTTACTACTCTCAATTTCCTTTCGTTAAGATATCTAATCTCACGATCAACAAGTATTGGCTTCATGAACTTAAGAGTGTTTATATACGCGCTATTCACGGCGATACACTTCTTGCTCAAAAGTGTTATGTTAAAGAACCCATTTTTTTCCTGTTGCAATTAGGAAGCGAAAAATCAGCTGTGAAATGCTTACGTACACTGCAATTCACCGATGAAAATGGTCATAGTTTAAAAAAGACGAGATTTGGATATGTCTGCAGAGGCAGCAAAATGGTATATCTTACTGATCAGAAACTGTACATGTTTGATTTGAAGAGTATTACCTAAATTGTTACTCACCAACACTTGATATACATAAAGCGTGGAATAATTCTACCGTCGGAGCCTCTCGTTTTGTTTTTGCATTTGATTTGTAACTCTATGCTCAATTTTATTTTTATTGTAGACTATGATTAAAAACAGACGATTAAAGGCGGATTTTATCACTTTGAAAACTGATCTTCTCATTTCAACGGAGCGCTACCGTAATTGTTCCGAAAAGCGAGTGAACTAGAATGGATTGTATTGATTCTTGGATGATTCATTCAGAAAGCTTCGTTTTTAAAATTTAATTGATTACTCAATTAGAAGGGGATAATACTTTATGCGAAATAAAATTTTTAACAGTTCAATCGATCGTGTTACTTGGTTAGTAATTTCTAATGTTTTCAACTGTCTTACCGATAGTAGGATTCGATTTTTCTCAATATTCCACTTATCATCGCTGCTGCTATTTGATGACAACAAGCTAGAGAACAAAAGAAACTTGCTACACATGTTAATAAACGAGGCGTTTGAAAGGATAAAAAAAGGCAATTTTACGCGCGAATACTAAATACTACACTTCTTTCTTATTTCAGGTAGCTGGAGAGTAGAACATGTGCTTCGTCTTGAAAGAGCGAGCGTTTTCGTCGACTCGTTTCTTATCGTTCTTTTTTCGTAGCGTTTTTAAAACGAGAGAAAGTCATTTCTTCTATCTATACAACAGGTCAATACCATTTTGAGTTTTGCTGCAGCGATCTTCATCGTTCATCCATTCGATTGAAATTAAACATCGATACATTCTAATGCGCACGAACTGGATAGTGATACACTGAAAAAAATAAGCGTAGAATAAAGAACGATTTAAGGGTTTATTAAAATGCAACGTATAAGAAACCCTTTCGAAAACGCTATTAACGGCATTGTGCGAAGTCAAAAACCCTCAACAAGGGTTTATGAAAGGGTATATTCACACTAAGATATAAACTTATATAACATTGAATACCTCATCCCGCCTTAAGACCATATAATCCTGCTCTAATTTCTGTTTTTGATTCTGATAATCAAACATCATTGACTTTTTTTATACAAGATGTATGTAGCATTAGATAACTCTCACATTAAAAGCATCAGCTCAAAACATTGAGCTTATAATAATTTAAGAGATACATACTTTCAAAGATGTAGATGCTCGTATATCGCATATCTTTCCTTTCATTTCTAAGGCTACAGAGCTGGGGTTAGTTTTAAACTGTAGTTATGATATGCCACTATACAATTTGACACTTGCCGATTTTTGAATATTATTTCACAAAAGTTTTAATTGAAGCTGGTAGTTTAATATATAACATCGAAAAGTCATTAGTTCTTAACTTACCCATTTTACTATTATAAGATAGAAAGCTTACTATTGGAAAATCGGATTATATTAAATTGTAATCGCAAACCACAACTATAGCTTAAAACCAACCCGACCTCTGTAGCCTTAGAAATGAAAGGAATGATATGCGAAATGAGAGCATCTACATCTCAGAGTGTGGGTGTGAGGGTGTGGGTGTGGATGTGGCTGTGACCAAAAGCGTGGATATGGTTGCTATAATTACAGTTATGTGTTAGCGAAAATCAAACTTGTTCACTATTTCCTCTAGGGAGAGGCTTTTACGAAACCTCAAGGATCTGTACTTCCGTCAGAAACTTATTAAAGTTTGGTATACTTCTGTTTTTTATTATTATATGCTTTTATCTAGGACATGTAAAATAGAATACAGTACTTTCAAATGTACCACAAGTACCATATTCATTATTTGATTCCGAAGCAAAACGAGAAGTCACATGCTTTGAGTTATATTCCAAACCAAAATTGAAACCGTATTTGCAACAAAATTTAGAGTAGTACCAAAAATTATATAAAACATCAGCAGCGATAATATTAATTCTTCTATCAGAATAAAAAATTTATCTCTTAAAGAATGCATTAAACCAAAACGACAAAACTGTATTCAATAAGAAGAAAAAGTTAACTTCACTGAATATTTTTTGAGAATCGAAAACAAATGGATGGTTAAGAAATAAAAATCTGTTTTATATTTATTTGACAACATGGATGTCATTAAATACAGAAGATTACTGTGAGTATATAATAAAATATCAACATCGTATAATGTCGATTAACTCTACGTTATTCGCTGCTTTAGCGGATTTTTTCATTCGCATCTTATCAAAAATTTGCGTAGTAAAACGTTTTGTATTTGGCAAACATGAGATGTTACAACTCATCTCTGTCGCGGTTCCACCAAAGAAAGATAGGAAAAGAAATATTACAAATAAACCAAGAAGTCCAAACGAAACACAGTTTTGAACCAATGGAGATTTTATACTTTGTAGTTCAAAAATGGCTGAAGTAACTTGTTTTTTTGTATAGTAAAAACCATAATTCTGGCCAATCTGGTAGAAAAACAAAAGAAATCAGAATTGTGTTACTATTAAAGAACAACAAAGTATACTTGTGTGCATTTTTCTTGCCTTTGCTGTATCTATACTGCTGACTACTGTTTGATTGAAAATAGGATATGAGAATTCGAAATTTTCATCAAAACAAGTGTTGTGGGTTTGAGTAGAAAACATGTTGCATATGTATATGCAGTCTGAAAGCTTCAATTATTTACATAATTAGAAGCTCCAATTGAACCGAACAGAATACAAGAGAGGAACAGGATGCATGCACAACCACCTGATAAAAGTACAACATTCGAAAAGAAACCACTAAACCATGATTTTTTCCTTTTGAATATTTAATCTTGTTAATTGCTGAATATTTATCGAAATTTTTAATAGTAGACTGTCATGTTGTGAATGACGTCAGTATATGATAGTCGACTACACGAGATTCTTATCAATTTCATCAAAGAGATGATTCAGCTACGCCTACATTCCCGTCACTTAAAAATATTATACTATTCTCAATCATCGTCTCATTCTAAGGATGGGTGTGAGTGCTAGCGCGTGTTGGTAAGACAAAGAGTTCAAAAGTCAAACACCAGAGCCCATATATAAAAGGATTTTTGAACAACACGAACAAAAATTCAAAAATAACTCATAAATTATTATAATATGAATCCATTTTTTTCTCTGTCAATTGAAACCCCGTCAGTAAAATTTTCAGAGTCAGAATCGTATCCGATGGACACTAGTGAGTGTGAGGATGTTTGAGAACAGGTTATGCAACTATATCTGAGCACAAAATGTATTCCTATTTGTATTGGTAGATTTTATTTTTGGATACATTTATTCTAGTAGATGCCAGCTGTATGAAAATATACAAATTGCGTGTGCTTATTGCCTTAATCATCAAGTGAACGCTGTGTAAGAACTGCATAGTCTCATAAATTGAAGTATATATCCCACTATCTAAACCGATGGGACAGCAAGTGTTCTGCGATTTACAATTGTTGATGTTATCGCAGTTGTATGAACTACTTGTAACCTTAGGGTGTGGGTGTGGGAGTGGGAGGGTGTGGATGTGGTTCATCTGTTTAAGTACACCCACACCCACACCCTTTATTAGGATCCGGAAATTTTTTTAGAATCTGTTTCGTTCGAAAGGATGGATGTCACTATAGGATGTATTCCTCCCGTCGACTTTGGCGAAGGTAGCGCGCGAGTGCTTGTTTCTCATAGGTAGCTGTAGAAGATACGGAAGATGTTTATTTAGCTTTCTATAATGCCATGATCTGATGGTTTTTTTTATAGATGTGAATGATGTGATCATTTTATGAGAATAGTGGTAGATAGACAATTATTTGGATATTCGTGAAGATGCTGTTATTGAAAAGGCCATTTGGCGATGATTTGATGTGCTTTTATTGCAGATGTGCTTGTTTTTCAGATCTACTGTTACATATAATATTTGTTTTTCAATTGAGTGATGTTTTCTTTATTTATATATAGCAACATAAAATTCTGAATGAGTTAGGTTAGC